GATATTCAGTAGTTCAGTGCTCTCTCATTATTTCTAGTTTAATTTGGTAAGACAGTCTCTGATCAATCTCAATTACTAATACCATTCCTTCACGATCCTAAGACTAACAATAATTTTGTACCAAAGCGTACCTCTCCAGTATCAAGGCAGTGGCGGATCTGGGCCCGGGCCTAGACGGGCCATGGCCCGGGCATCAGAAGTCAGTAATGAGATTCATTAGATGCAATGTAAACAATTCCCTGCCTCAAGTTTTGATAAAGTAAACCACAAGCCACACCAGAGTACTTACAAGTGCTTGAAGAGCATTATAACCACAGCATAGATGAGGAAATTGTTGAAACCCATCATAAAAATGGCCAAAAGATGCATAACCATAAAATAACTGGTTGAAAAGTGGACACACCCACTTCCTGGCCCTACCATTAACTTACACCCAGATCCGCCACTGTATCAAGGACTGATCTATTGTTACATAATGAGTCTAGTCTGTCTCGTTCTGTTAGTTACTCCTGACTCAAAACATACCAGTATGAAGGACTGGGGTATTATTATTAGTATTATTAACTGTACGTCATTTATAATTATACCTTGTACAATTGAAATGATTGACTGCCATTTTTTGTGGGCAGGACTAGCAGAAGTCAATTACCCGCTACTTGTTAGCATGAAATTACAAAATATTGTATATCAAACAATAATGGAATGATAAAAGAATAACATCAATTTTTCATGTGTATTTTGATTGGTCACTTGTTTTGGTTGAAGAAACGCAAGTTCACATGAAGAGTGATTAGTACCTTTTCCAGACTACTCTGTTTTGTATGAGGTGATAGTTAGGATAAGTAATAATACAAGTCCCTTTGTGTCACTCGTCTAGCCTGAGTCTCCTCATAATCTTATTATCCATTAGTGACTGGAGGATGAGTAGTATCGACTCAGTAGACAATGAATTACTCCTTAGATTCAGTTCAACTAGTGATAAGTTATTGAAAAGGAGGTGAGAAAGAGCCTGTCCACTAGTAGAAGTGATGAGAGGATTATTATTAAGATCTAATGAGGTAAGTGTATAATTGTGCTTAAGTACTTGACAAATATTAGTAACTCCTCTATCACTAATGGAGTAGAGACTGATGACTAGTTCTTGTATTGTTT